TGCACTTCTCGACGGCTCTCTGAAGTGCTTGTTTTAGCACAGGAGTCATCACTCTTCCTCGACGACACAGCGTCTCCATGTCTTGAAGGGCAAGGTGTGAATATCCATGAAGCTTGTTGGCGAAGCGACCGGCGATTCTGCCATATCGAAACCTTGCCTTCATGGTTTCTGCCGGCGGGATAGTGGACGCATATGAGACTTCCGTGGAGAAGAACGTTACAAAGGAGGATGTTTTGGACGGAACGACGAGAAGAAATGTGCGAACCGCATCGGGGTCACTCGACATTGTTGGTTCGGTGTATGTGTTGAACGTGAGACGTTTTGACGAGAGGTTTCTCACTCCTTTTGGAATAACCAAAAGGTTCTCCGGTCCAAGCTGGTACGAACGGTGAAGGATCTCGTTACTCAGAAGAAGGAATCCATCTCCTCTCGTGACGTAGAACGGAATTTTGACTTCCGTTCCACTCATGTCGGTCACGGGAAGGTCCCACACTCCAATAGTGACCTCGGCGTCGCTACAATTCTTGCCGTATCCATGCAAGAACGGTTCACAGTCTAGCCTTCGAAGTTTGAACGGAATGTTCATGGCAGTGCAGAGGGCTGCGGCGCAAGAAATCCCTCCAACACTTCTGGGACATCCCGGATCAATAATGGGATTTGGATCTGAGATTCTCGGATTGATATCGGAGGAGGCTCCGGGATGGCTGACTAGGCTTGCCTGTTTGACGAACCGCCGGAGCCTCTCCGAAAAAACGAGGGATGTGCCCCGGAGCCGCCGTCACTGGGGTCTCGGCGCGTCCTCTTTTTCTTGGTGAAGGCGCTAGGTTCCTTGCACTCTGCTGCCCCTCTGTAGTGACCACGCTCTCCGCAGTCATAGCAAATGGACTGGGTCTCGTGATCCGAAGACAGCTGCCTCTTGCGACTGCCTGGAGATGCGTTACCACGGCTAGAGGGTGGACCCATTCGAGTGTCCTTCTTCTGCCCGTGACGTGAGCCGACTTCAGAGAGTCTGTCGAAGATGCTTGCAGGGCCAGGCTTGCCATGGGTGCCAATGAGAGACTTGATCTTGCCGTCAACCAAGGCTTGGACGTCCTTCATGGAGAACGGGGGAGAATCCATTGACGTTGTCTGGGCCAGATTCCTCAGCACGATCACCGCGTCGTCAAGGTTGAGCCTGCAAGAAGTGCACCGCGGAAGGAAAGAGTCAGCAACTGACGTCTTCGCAGCATTATTCTCTGGAGTCACCTTTAGGTCTTGGACTGCAATGTCCAAGGAGCGGATGAAGCTGATTATTTGCGATCTGAAGTCGGAGAGAGCCTTCATATAATCATCGGCCGTGGACTCTGACTCGCGAAGTGGAACGTCAACCTTCTTCAGCTTCTCGGATATCTTGAGGACTTTCTCGAGATGCACCTTGGATACCTTTTCGGTGTCGACGACTGCCCACTCCTTGTTTCGGGCTTCGGCATGCGAAATTAGTTGGAGCTTGGCATTGGTCAACGTTCCCTCCTCTATGTTTGCGTTATTGAGGAGGGTAATCGCCAAAACTTCACCTATCTGCGAAGAAGAAGAAGTGTTGGCGTGCAGCAAGTGCTTGGCTGCCAAACCTCAGAACCTCGAGACGAAGCTGGAGAGCTTCTCGTTCCTGTCTCGGCGACACGAGGTGATCTTCTGGTATGATGCGATGAGCCTTGTGACCATGGCAATCGGTGGGCCTACAGCGACAAGCTCGACGATGGAGAGTGCCGCTTGCACGGGATCATCCATCTGAAGGTAGTAGAGCTGTCCTTTGGACCGGGCTTCATCGACGATTGCCTTCTGAGCTTCCGGAAGGCCGCGCTCATAGAGTGTTCGTCCGAGGAGCTTGAACATCGTCTGAAAAGTGCGATCGGTGCCTTGGTCGTGGGCGACTTTAAGTGAGTCGACCCATTGTCCAACCTTCTTGCGCCAGGCTTCAAGATCGCCATCGGCAGCGAAGAGAGGCGGATCGAAGAATCCTGATAATTTACTCATCTTTCCCCCTGGGCCCATAACTGTGGGAGAACGGGAACGATGAGGTTAGTAGTAGCTGCGCTCGTCGCATGAAGCGGCGGGGGAAAGGAGTCGCGAGAGCGAGGAGGATGGGGATACTTCGGATGTCGAGTCTCGAGACTTTTCGCCGGCGCTGTCGGACGGTAGCAAGTTACCCCCGAGGGTCGGTTGGGATACCGCCTTCGGATTTTAATATATCCGGATTTCCCGCCGGCGCGTCGAACGGATACTTTCCCTTTTTCCCAGATTTAGGGCTAACCAGATAAACTGCAACTTCTATCTTCCCACATAAACTGTACCCTTGGGTACAATATGTTCAGTCTCGAGATAGTTTGAGGGCAGCATGCATTTTCGCTCAACTCTGCCGTAGTGTTGCCTCTTCATACGGTATCTTCCGTCTTTTCTCATTGTAGTCGATCGTTTTCAAACATGCCCCTTGCATCGCGCAGCGATTGCACATAGCTCCATGCATTCCTTTTGTACGAATACTGTGACAAATGTATATGAGAGCTGTCATTCTCACTCTTTTGAAATAATTCATTAACTCTGCCAATGCCACTGCGCCCCAAAGCATTGCGGAGCAGTTGTACTGCGAGAGCGTTCTTCTCGACGAAAATGCAATCGCATTGATAAAAAATGCAAGGCCGGCGCAAAAGCCCTTAGAGCACCCCTATCAGTGCTGTGTATATGTAAATATTTGGCATATAGAGATACATATAGCCTCTTTCATCCCTATCGGACTGGATATCTCCAAAAATTTGGCCTTTTTGGCTATATCTATCTCTATATTGGAAGCCGGATGGCGACAAATTTACTCATTTGACCATATAGAGACGCGAATTACATGGCGCCACTTGGCCAAAAGACCATAGAACAGTGTCAATACAGTACCTCTCGTACTCGATGCCCCGCACCCCTCGTACACTATGCCCTATCAGGGCACTTCAATTTCAAATCTACAACTACTAAAATCGTTGTCTGTGTGTCTGTCTGTATGTCCTTGCGCTCCCGCGTTGCCATTGGCGCACGGGGGCGGCGCCGCGGTGACAAGTGGCGGCCACGTGCGGGGCGTCCTGGCCGCAGGCCAGGCCGCCACGGGTACACGTGGCGTGACAAGTGGCGCGCCCCATTAATTTTATTTTGAATTTCGAACTGTTACACCAATGCGGCACTACAGTAGCGTGCCGGTGACAAGTGGCGACACGTGGCGGCGCCCCTGGTGACAAGTGGCGGTGAGGCGAAAGCGCGCACGAATAGAAACCTTTTTTACATAGCGGCACGTCGGCAGCACAGTACCGGCTTTCGAGTTCAACAACCTTCAGCAATTTTTCACCACGTGACGGTTCCCTGGTAGCGTGGTGACCAGAGTCTGGGCAAGGCAGCGATCGTGATTCTATGCCGGCTTAGTAGTGGGTTGAATACGGCATTCCCCGCGAAAAGTTTACCGGATTGCTTGACGGCATCCGGATAGTCCCTAGGTGCTATTGCGCTTTGCTTTTAGTAAAGCGTGGTAGTCTGCCGCTGTGCAGGAAGCCTAATCCGATAGCACACCATTTCTTGGTGTTGTAGTATCGGGCTCGGAACAACGGCCTCCGCAGAGCAATCTGCGGACGTCGGACTGACGTTGTTTTCAACGTCGACAACGAAGATCAAACGCAGCCTCCGTCAAACTATAGAGGCTGCAAGAAGACCCAGTGTAGGTGCCGTTAGGGCTTGGGAAACCTAACCACCGCACTGAGGGAAAAGGGAGCGCGCGTACATAGCGACCCCGGCGGGAAGAGCCTTGCAAGAGGTTCTTTCTAATACCGGGCTCCCTGGGAGTAGAAATAGACAAGGTGGTCGTACTCTGAGTATTAATACTGTACCCTGTGTATACTAGGACCATTAGTCTATTTCTATTTCTATTTCGTTTTTGGTTCTTTTGAATCACAGGATAGTACAAGACAATAAAGGCCCTATATTGTTACTCTTTTGCTAAGTGCTCTTGCGGACGACCTAGCTGGCTGACGTTGCGTTTAGACCTTTGAGGACTGCTTGCTACGACTCATAGCGATCTACAACGGACCCCTCGCACTTGCGTCAACCCTAGCTGCACTTGCAGGGATAACACTAGCGCGCCGAGCAGAACATAAATGGCGGAAACAGCGGGCGAAGACGTGGCAGAAGCAAGACGGCAGCAAAGAAACGCGCGTGCAAGGGAAAGAAGAGCGCAAGAGTCTGAGTCTGACGCTCAAGCACGTCGTGAGGCACGTCGAGCCCGTGCGAGAATCCGGACGGGGCAACAAACCGAATCTCAGAGGGAAGCGCGTCGTCAAGCCAACCGTGAACGTGCTGCAGCACGAAGAGCAGCAGAGACGTCTGAGCAGCGCGAGGAGCGTCTCCGTCGACTGAGGGAGAGAGCCAGGGTGCGCAGAGCGGGAGAAACCACCCCCCTCCGAAATGCGCGGCGCGAAGCGGATTGCATTGCGACACGAGGCACTAGAGCGGAGGAATGTACTCCTATTCGTGAGGGGCGGCGAGAATCGGATCTTATTGCAACGCAAAGAGGCCGAGCCGAGGAAAATACTCCACTGAGATCTTCGAGACAGGAGTCGAATCGCTTGGCAATGCGACAAGCAAGAGCTGTGGATATATCCCCTGTCATAGCTGCGCGGCAAAGATCCGACCGCCAGGCTCGAAGTGCCTCTCGACAGCTCTTCCCTCCACTACCTGAGTCCTCTCCTTCGTACCGCGATCTCGGCATGATCCGTGTTGAGTGTTCACACTGCAAAGCTCTGCATTTCGTCCAGGAACGCATCGGGGGCAGCTCTGCCGCAAGGCCCATTTTTTCCACATGCTGTGGGAAGGGGAAGCTGTCATTGCCGCTTCTCCCCGACCCGCCAGCTCTTCTGCGCTCTCTTCTCATCGATGATACTCCAAGGGCCTGCAGCTTCCGTAAGAACATTCGAGCATACAATGTAGCGCTATCGATGGCATCTGTGGTCGCCAAATGGGTGAACAGAGGTCCCGGTCCTTCTAATTTTAACCCCACAATGACGATGCAGGGCGGGATGTACCATTACATGGGTCCCATGATGCCATCCGAAGGGCGGGCGCCTTCCTATGCTTCCGTTTACATTCATGACACTGACTACGCCACCCAGACGCACACAAGGCTTGGAACCTCTAGACAACTGGAAGAGGCACTGATGACGCAACTGACACACATGCTGCACGAATGCAACCCCTACGTGCAGACGTTTCTGTGTATGCGAGAATGGGCTCAATCTCCCCAAAACAACTGTCCTGCCACGTACCAGATGGTCATCCATGCCGACCGCAGGCCAAGTCATGAGCACGTGCGCCGGTACAATGGTCCCGAAGCTTCTGAAGTCGCCGCATTGATCCCTGGAAATGAAGACGGAGAGATTGGGCGAAGAGATATCGTCGTGCGCAGGAGAGGGACTCTGAACAGTAACGGGAACGAAGTGCTGGATCCGATTTCAGTCAGTCATCGCGCATACGATCCATTGAGTTACGTGCTTTTGTTCCCGAACGGTAGAGATGAATGGTATCCAGAGCTTCGATTCTCCAGTGTTCAAGACGGCAGACGTACCAAGATTACTCCGATGATGTACTACGGATGGCATTTGTTCGAAAGATCAGGCGAGTTCAGCACAATCTTGCACGCAGCACGACTCTTTCAGCAATACTTGGTTGACCAGTTCTGCAAAGTGGAGGCAGAAAGGCTTTCTTATCTCCGCCACAACCAGACACAACTTCGAGCCGCCGACTACACCTCACTGCGCGACAGCCTAGGAGACTCCCGTCGTGCTGAAGATGAAGCCGATGCCGTGCGTGCGGGACGACTGTTCATTCTCCCTTCCACGTACATTGGAGGTGACCGCTATATGAGGCAGCAGATGCACGACATCATTGCTATATCGAACCAAATTGGCCACCCGGACATCTTCCTCACCATGACATGCAATCCAAGCTGGCCGAAGATCACAAGAGCCCTACTGCCGAACCAAACGCCTCAGGACAGACCGGATCTGTGCGCACGTGTGTTTCGTCTCAAAATGAAAGATCTCATGTCCTTGGTCATCAACGAAGAAGTATTCGGAACCGTTGTTGCCCATGTACGAGTCATCGAGTTTCAGAAACGCGGTCTTCCCCACGCTCACGTTGTATTTTTCCTAGATGAAGTCTCCAAGAATGATCTGCGTACTCCCGAAAACGTCGACCGCATTATCTCTGCCGAGATCCCGTCTGCCCAAGATCCAGAACTCCAAGAGGTCGTGCTCAAGCATATGATTCACAATCCATGTGGAGAACACAATCCAACAGCCGTGTGCATGGGCGAGCGGTACTGCAGGAAAGGGTTTCCAAAATCGTTCAAACACGAAACCAGCCAGTCCGACAGTGAGTACTACATCACGTACCGAAGAAGGGCACCCTCTGCAGGTGGCGTCTCCATCGAGCGACCCTCCCGTATTGGCCGACGACAGCAACCCGTCGTGGTAGACAACTCCTGGGTCGTTCCTCACAGTCCTGTGCTTCTACGTTCATTCGCTTGCCATTTGAATGTTGAACTCTGCGTGTCACGCGTTGGCGGAATCAAGTACCTCTTCAAGTATGTGTGCAAGGGACAAGACCGAGTGACCATGGAAATCACTGCCGAGAACGAGCGCTACGACGAGATCTCCAACTTCCAAGATGCCAGATACGTTTCGGCATCGGAGGCCGCATGGAGGTTATTCTCCTTTGACATTGTAGACCGCAATCCTCCAGTAGTCAGGCTTGCAGTGCATCTGCCCAACCACCACACGGTTTACTTTGAGGAAGGGCGAGAGCAGGAGGCGGCGCTTCGACCAGCAACAGGCACGAAGCTGACCGAGTGGTTTAAAGCCAACGAGAAGTACCCAAGCGCGCGGCATATTCGGTACCACAAGTTTCCAAAGTACTTTACGTGGAAGACACGCACCAAGTCATGGAGTCCAAGAGCAACCCTGCGAAGACGGAACGCCACCAGCGAAGAGGAAGCCTACGATTTCAGTGGTACAGGTGCCAACGTAGTCGGTCGAATCTACACTGTCAGTCCGAGGGAGGGTGAGCGCTACTTTCTTCGCCTCCTCCTCACACAAGTGCCAGGGGCAACATCCTTCGAGAACTTGCGAAATATCGACGGCGAGCAGTGCACCAGCTTCCGACAAGCTTGCTTACGACTCGGTTTACTGGCCGACGATGCCGAGTGGAAGCACGCAATCCGAGATTCATTCCGGTCAAGCTTCGTTCCTCTTTCTCATCTGTTTGCTACGATTCTGGCACACTGCCAGCCTTCGGACCCTCTCTCGCTGTGGAACGACCACCTGGACATGTTTCTCACCGATATTCGCAATCGTGCACGCAGACAACCCATTCGAAGACAGCAGCTTCGCGATGATCACCACGCCACATCTTACGTACTTCGAGAGGTACAGGAGGCTCTGCAGACCGTGCGATCCGACTGGACGCTCGCAAACTTCGGACTCCCACTGCCCGATGACAGCCTGCCCGCTTTGGAACAGCAAAACGAGATCGAGACCCCCGAAGCACGAGCGCGGCAGTGGGAAGGGCGACTACAGACGTCGTTGCCGCTGTTGAACACAAATCAACGTCATGCCTTTGACGAAATAGTGGGCTCCTTGCTTCCAGGCGTATCCGTCTCTGCATTGCTTCAAGGATCCTTAAGCGCCGTTGCGGGACCTTCTATGCCGACACGAAGTGGTCGTCTCTTCTTCCTCGATGCTCCTGGCGGAACAGGCAAAACATTCGTGCTCAGCGCCATTCAAGACTTCCTTCGTACGCGCCGTAAGCAGGTCATCGCTGTCGCTACGTCTGCTGTTGCTGCTGTGCTGCTCGACGGTGGACGCACCGCTCATTCCGTGTTCAAGATTCCCATTCCTGTATCTGCCGAAAGCACGTGCAGCTTCTACGCAAACTCCGACACAGGCCGTACACTGCAACAAGTCGATCTCATCATATGGGACGAGATCGTCATGTGCCATCGACATTGCATTGAGACTGTCGATCGCTCCCTTCGAGACTTGATGCAAACCGACCGGCCCTTCGGAGGAAAGTTCCTCGTGCTCGCTGGAGACTTTAGACAAATCCTTCCCGTCGTTCCGGGCGGGTCCAGAGGTCAAATCGTGAGTGCGTGCGTCAAGGCTTCCCCGCTGTATCGAGAGTGCCGATTCCTGCGCCTTACCGAGAACATGCGCCTTGCTGCTCTCCGAGCCGACCCTGCAGCAGATGTGGAGGCTCTCAACTTTCCAGAATTCCTCCTCAGCGTCGGGGAAGGCAGACTTCAAGGCGAACAGCGCCCGGAATGGATCTCACTACCACAGTCCGTTGCGTTCGAGCACACCATCCGCAGTTTATGCCTCAACGTCTTCCAAGGCATTCGAGACAATCACGCCGACCCTGCCTGGCTCACCAAGCGCGTTATACTCACCACAAAGAACAGGCCGCTCGAGGAAGTCAACGAGGTCATCGGCAACATGATTCCGGGATCGTATCGAACGTATTTGAGCGCAGACAAGGTCGAGAACGAAGACACCAACGCGCTGATCTATCCCACAGAAATGCTCAACACCTTGACCGCCGGATCTGCTCTACCAGACCACAAGCTCAAGCTCAAGAAAGGCTTCATCGTCATGCTTCTGCGCAATCTCGATCCCGCTACCGGTCACGTCAACGGCGCGCGATATGTCATCGAGAACATGACCAACAACCTGCTCTTTCTACGCGTTACCACCGGTTCACACCAAGGCAACAGATTGTGTCTTCCTCGAATGCCATGCAGACCAGGAGACGACAACTTTCCCATCCCTGGCTTCACCCGAACGCAGTTCCCCATTCGCACGTGCTTCGCCCTTACAACGAACAAAGCGCAAGGCCAATCCTTCGGTCGCCGCATTGGTCTCGACTTACGAGATCACTGCTTCTCGCACGGTCAACTCTATGTCGCACTATCAAGGACTACTCACCCAGGCAACGTCACTGTCCTCACTCGAGAGTCCAATGAAACCACGCGAAACGTAGTGTACCCCGAGGTCCTTCAGTAGTTACCAAAAAAAGTAAACGCCATTGTCTTTACATATTTTCATTGCCACCCTTCCCAAATAGTGTTCCTCCACGCCTCCTTGGCTCGGCGCGCGAAGCGCGCACGGAGCCCACTTGTTTACTCCTAAACCGATAGTGTTGCGCACAGAAATGCTATATGCAAACGCAAAATTTTACACATTTAGCCACCAAATTTAGCCAAACCGATAGGGGTGCTCTTACTAGTAGCTAGCTAGCCGGTATCGATTACCAATCACATGACATACTATACTGAACTAGAAAGCAGTTGACGAAATAGAACACATTGCTTTCTTTCGATCTTGCTAGCCCCTAGGCGACGAGCGATTTGTCTCATATGAGGTCAAGCATAGCCTCATCTGAAGCCAGTTTTTTTTGCAAAAATATATACGTTGAATCGAAACTTTATAAAGTCAGTATGGACGTCATATCTTTAACGCGCATATCCTCGGCAATAACCTCTTGCAAAAACAATGGGATAGCAGTTGTTAATACACAGAAAGACTAAGAATCTAATTAAGTTTCAATACCAGGTTGACATTTTAAACAGGCGTTTTGGTTTCGAAGATGTCAACATACAACGTTTTGGGGTTTGCCAAAAAGGCTTCTTTTTTAGGCATCAACAAGTGGCTGGAAAAGACGAGCAGATTTCGCCAAACTCCATCCTTCCGGAACGCAGAAGTCAACTGCGGTGGCGAGAGTATCTTTTTCCGTCTTGTTCACTAAGCACCAGTCGAGAAAAAATAAGTTGAGAAATAGCCTCATACCGTATGAGAGGTCACTGGTTGTCGAGACACTAGACTTACTGCTGCACTGTAATGCCGAAATGAAATTTAGTTTATGAAAACTACATTCACATGTACATTACTGTAACAGCAAATAGGCGATTGCTTAGTTCAGACAGCGGTTTGGGGGAACCCAAAGAAGAGGAGGCCGGACTGCTGTACTGTGCCAAGCATTGGTGTAGCACATCAACATGAAAGGCTGCGCCAACTGAATTGACTTGCAATTCTGTTATTTGTCCAGTACCCTTCGAAGGGTAGGTGTTTTGGAGATTGATGCTCAATGGTAAGAGCCTGCGTCCTTGACTTGCGGCTATCATGCATTCAAGGGCATTTTCGCGATAGCTACGCTCTCTGAGAAGTTTCGCTCTCCGAGTGCTCTGGTTCCGTAGTTTTTTGAGGAACGTACCGCACAACATTCACGCGGAATGTCATGTGATGTCTCTCGGCAGGCGCGAGACTACAAGATTAAAGGGATTCGTTCAATGACGTATGTTTAGCCCCAATGAATCGGGCAATGTGACGAGTCTACAACAGACTCACTCCACGTACTTCATACGAAGATGTGGATCATCATACAACCTAAAACATGACGGCAACTCGCCTCGTAGACACATGTGCCCCAGGCGGGGCCGTTCCGCACAACCATCTCCTATTCCATCTATTGTATCCTGTTGCTCATTTGTCGAGTGCCGTTTCCAGCGCTTGTCACTTTGACCGGGCGAAAGCTGTCAGCTTGGTTGTCACCCTGTGCTTACAATGCTTGACACGAGAGTCTTTCGTGAAGATCTACAGTTTATAACTGTTCACGGAAGTTGTGAGGGCGAAGAGTTAGCGCGGTAGCGCGGGCCTCAGATAGAGAAAGAACTTCTCAATTTGGAGTTTGTCGAAGTGAACTTGACTCACAGAAGATGAAACAACTTTTTTAGGTCCAACTGTAAAAGGAAGGAGACGCATTCTCAACACTATGCGAGATTAAAGCTCCAATTTGACACACCGCATGATCAGCTCTTGTCTTTCATTTTCCTTACACAGCTGATGCGGTGTCTTCCAGGATTGCATCATGCGCAAGAGTCTTAATATCTCGGAATTAGTGTCAGTAAAATCATTGCGGCTTCTCTCAGTGCACACCGAGCTCACGTAGAGCAAAATGAATAAGTTGCATTCAGGATTTGAGTTGGACACGAGTATGTATACATCAAGACACTGTCATGATGCGTCCAAACTGCATCACCAAAGACAAATAAATACTTTGAGATGAACAGGATTGTCCAAGTTAGTCTGTCGAACTACATACTGTACGTATGCATAAACTGTACAATGGCCATTCATTGGCGATCCCATCTGTGCTCGTCATGTGCTTACAGGTTTCTAACACTGCGGGGCACAGTAGTACACAATTTATGTTTTCGTGCGGTATGTAGTTCGACAGACTAACTTGGACAATCCTGTTCATC